TCGCACTACAGACCTGAGTCTTTTCTCTCTGAGGTAATGATTAAAGCCAGAGCTTTCTGCGCTGTGTAGGAGGAACTGGGCATCGGGCAGGGAATAGATGAGGTTGAGTGCTGAGCACAGGGCTCCAGAGTACTACAGGCCGAGGGCGAGAGTGAGCGACTCTGGTGGGCCATATTGGCATGCATGGACGAGCTGGAAGTTCTAGATGCCCGTTGGAGCGAGGAGGCGTAGCCGTAAGCTGCGCTGCTCATGAGGAACTCTCGAGAGCCATAGGCGGGGGGAGTGGGCCTCCGGGATAGGCGCCCACTTGGCGTGTCGTAAACAGACATATCCTGAATAGGAAGCAAAGACGGCTGCTTTTCTCGCTCCTCCAGTTCATGACGTTCTGGGATAGAGCTCATGGTAGGTTTGGAAAGGCTGTCATAGTGCACAGGAGACTGCCTGCTCGTGCCAGTGAAACCCGGGCTGCAGGTACGGGGGGGTGCATGCTGGGCATCTGCTGGGCACCTGATGGCCAGACCCAGATCTAAGGGAAGGTAAGGAGGCAGGTAGTTCACTCTGAAGGTCCCGCGTTGTGCTGGGCTGAGGAGGCTGTCATAGGAGAGGCTGAGGATGCCCTGGTTGGAGGAAGATGCCACAGAATCGGGACACCGATGGGCTCGGTCTCCTCTGCAGCGGGTGTGTTTCAAAGTGAGGGAGTGGGAGTTCAGAATGAATTTGTTCACGGGAAGTGTGCTGGACTGCAGGGCCAGGTGGGTAGAGATAGGAGTCTGCTTCTCCATTTGCCCCATTCCAGATTCAAAAAATGGATCCTTGGCAAAACCACTCATGTGGAGCTGGGGGTTCTTCGTGCACTCCATCTAAATAAACACAGAATTTAGCAAGAAGAGGTTGTAATAATCAGGCCCACATTTGTGTCTTGTGTAAAACTTGTATCAATCTAGGACATTTATGATTTATTTGGTCTCTAGCATCATTAAAGAGCAACGTTTGTCTTTACATATATCTCTAACTTCCAGATTTACTGTATTATGTTTTGTTATGGACGTTTTACTTGACCAAATGTAACTGCCCTAAATACCCCCACTCAACCAATGGTGATATCCTTTTATATGTTCAAATTCATTGTACAAAGTGAATGAGGGATATACATAGTCAATGTAGCTCAAAGTGAATGGGGGCATAATAGTCTGTGCATGTCAGTAATAAAGTGCATCCATGAAATGCTTTAAAATCAAATAAAAGGCCTTTAACTGGAATTAAACAAGGACGATATGATGAAAAGAAAGAAATGGCCTTGAGTTGGTAGAAGGTCTTGCACTTGAAAACATGAATTGATGGCACCAGGATCAAAAATTACCCCAGGTATGAGGTTTTAAAATGTTCCTTGGTTCTTTAATAGACTGTTTGTAGATTTTTTCTGTGCATGGAAAAATGTTGACTGTTTATGGCAATCACACATATGCAACAAATGTCGTAGGTAAAGATAAGGTTAAAATCATTTACATTTATTCACTTGGCTAACACTTTATCCAAAGTGACTTATGACTGAGACATGGTACAACTGAGCAGTTGAGGGATAAGGAATTGCTTAATGACTACTGACTACAAGCTACCAGTTCCCTGGATGCTTGAACTTTTCTTTCAAGGCCTGGTCTTGAAGGGGACTTGGTCAAGGACCCAAAAGTGGCAGATTGGCAGCATCAGGATTTGAACTTACAAGCTTCCAATCAATCAACCCCTGAGCTAGCACTGCCCTGGTTGCTGGAGCAATTCTTTTAAAGTCTGGTCTTGAAGCAGACACAGTATTTGTCTATCCTGGTCTTGAATGGTCTTCCTCACATTTGGACTCAGTCTCGGCTCTGTCCAGTCTTGTTTATTTTTTTCTCTCAACCTTAGATTTCTTGACTTCAGCCCTATTGTCCACTCACCTGCTCCCTAGGAACTTGATAACACAGCCTGGAAGGCGACTCTACGATCTGACCAATGGTGCTCTGGGCAGACGGCACTGCGGTTTTGGATTGCAGTAAGCTCTCTAACGCAGAAAAACACATTTGTGACTTTCTATTATAACTCCAATATGAAGTTTAGGCTTGCATTCTAAAACATCACCATATTTCACATTGATTAATATAATATCGAGGATGCAAAAAAGACATGAATGTCCACCTTGCAACGTAGCAACATGGCTCTTGAGCAGAACTGGGTTGGGTTTGGGTGGCATAGGGGGCGGTGTGTTCAGCTGTTTACACTCAGGGACATCCCATTCTCCTGCAGACTGTCTCTAGCAGAGGACAAACATGGACCTATCCATTATAAGTGTCAGAATAGTAAATGGGCCTTCACTTCTACAGTTAAGGCACCATCACAGACACTGCGATATCTCTCTCTTGCAGTTACAGAGGAAGCAAAAGCAAATGGGCAGATGGTTAATGTTCATGTCACATTCACATGCCTTGATTAAAGTCTTTAAATAGGCTCTTCACTAGCTTATAAGGTGTAATTTGAGAAGACAAAAAGAGAGGTGGTAAATATCTGTTAAATTAGGGGTTTCAATTCACATAGTTGCCCACTCATATTTCTAATGTAGCTCATTGGGTTACTCATGCGCAATTTCATTTTTGAATGGTACGTTAAAATAGGATAGGGAATGTGCATTACTTTGACGGAAAGCATTTCAGTTTGCATCCCATTGTCTTCAACTTTCATGGGTGACATTTTGAGGGACTCTGGTGTTTGGAATGGTGGTTGTATATGGACAGTCTGCTTGTTTCCCAACTTCCTGGTGTATCTGCCAGGGAAAAGAAGCAGAAAATGCAAATTTACAGCATGACACATTACCAAAGATGGACTGGACACTACAGACCCACATGAGGACAGTGTTGTACCTTGGAGTAATTGGACTACACAGAACAAACTCCACATTGCCACAGCAGCCACGTGTAAAGGGATTTGCTCCTCCGTGGAACTTTCTAGTCACCTGTAACGAAGACCAATTTTTAGTATCTAGGCAACAGTGCTTCTCTTGCCAATATCTTGGAAACCTGCCATTTCTCTGGGCCAAACTATGATCTTAAGTTCTTAAGTTTTCAGGTGAATGATCACACATTCGCTTGTCTTACCTGTTCATTTGTAGTTCGTCCTGTTGCTACCAGGACCATATGGAAGCATGCGAATCCCATAACGGGGATGAAAAAAAGGCCTGACATACTCATGATGGACAGACTGACCCAGTGATGTCAAGGAGCAACTCACATAACTGGTGAAATAATCCAAATGGAACTAATATGACAGATTAGAGTGATGGTATGATAGCTTAATTTCAGAAAGGTCCAAACACAGATATTGCACATATGAGAGGCCTAGATGACTGATGATGTAATTCTCTGCAGAGGATGTGAAGTCACTTTGTACTATATCTTCAGGAAAATGGTAGATGTGCCACATTTTGCTATGTTTCACTTGTGAGGACCTACGTAAAAGATTTAGTTTTAAATGTTCAGCTTTAAAGCTAAGTAATTGTTTAAAAGTTACACAAGTACCAGACATTAACTTCTTCATGTGTTGTCTAGCATTAATTAAAGCATTGTTAGATAGGTTTGCTAGCTAGCAAAGTCAGCTAGTCAATTTTCAATTCAAACCTGCTTCATTAGGTTGATTAGACTATTTTTTGGCATTAAAGTTTTCAAACTTTTCAAACACAGATGGGTAACATTTAACCCTTTAAAATCTCACATCATCATTCAGTTATAATATGAATTCATATTATTATTATGCTAACTTTACTCATTAACTTCTAAATTATAAGTGAAACAAACTGGAAATTCATGTAATTAAAGTGTGAATAGTGTAAGTCTGGATGCACAGATGGGTCCTGGGAGCTTAATTGGGTGTATTAACAGTTAAACCAGTGTGTTATGCATACAGAATGGCGCTGTTTGCTTAAATGTTCATCTGTTACATTCAGAAAAAGATCATTAACTCATGGAGCTGTATGGAGTCAGGATACGTGATGGTTGCCTGTAGCTCCCACAGGGCTTCCAGGTGGTGCAGCACAAACAGGAGACCCCCAGAGAAAATGGCCACCATGTGCACACTGAGAGACAGCAGGAAGAGGAAGAAGAAACGGTAGTTTCGTCTCCCGATGCAGTTGTTCACCCAGGGGCAATGATGGTCAAAGTCCTGGGAATCATTTATTTAGCAAACATTTAACCAGACTTGAGAATCCAATGTCATATCCAAGCATGACAATGTAAATGAAAGACAATTACAAACACAGCCAAATTTCATGTTCATTGGATGCTGTCATAAAAGCAGAAATAGACTTATTATAATAATGCTAAGCTAATTGTATTTGCAATCAGTTTCTCACTTATTTTGCATTTCTAATGCAGGCAAACAGCAGGCTGCTGTGAGGAATTTTAAGCAGCAGCAGTTTTTTTTTTTTCTGAGCAAACGCCGGCTAATGAATGGCACACAATGTATAATACTGGGTTGGCTTCCTAAATACAGCTGACTGTGTGCAGATTTTATCTAAAAAGGAACAAAATGATAATGGCAAAGTGGTTTAACCTGCTTGTCTGCCTTTCTCATTCCTGCACATATGGTGCCTTGCATAAGTATTCACCCCCCTTGAACTTTTCCACATTTTTGAACTATTACAACCTTACTTCTATGACTAGCTCCCTCTTCACCCGTTCACTGAGTTTTGGTGAACGGCTTCCTCTAGGTAGAGTCGCTGTTGTGCCATACAGTATACTTTCCATTTTTAATAATGGGTTTAAAATAAGGATAGGATTAATGGATTGGAGTGATTGGCAGGATGTTCAAAGTTTGGGATCATTTTTAAAAACCCAGATTGATATGTTTCCAGTACTTTGTCCAGGACTTTTAGCACCTTATAGCACCTTGGTCTTCATGATGCTGTTTTGGTATGTTCTCTAACAGTTATTGGGGCTTTCCCCTTGCACTACCTATGCACCCACAGTGGCTGGGGTTGGCACCCAGTGTGGGGCTCAAACCCATGATTCTGAGATCAAGAGTCCCATGCTCTACCAACTGAGCTTGCCTGGCACCCTATTTCAATTCCATGTTGTTACACTAAAAAATGAAGGGTATGTATGTACAAAGACTGTCCACACACACACACACACATACACACACATAGACCACTCACCTCCACACAGTGGTCACACACACTACAGTGGGAGCAGCGAGGGGGTCTGTAGAAGTTGCAGGAGGCACACCACTTCATCCGAAACTGGATTCCCCGGACCTCCACGTCCTTATAGAGGGGAGCACGCAAGTCATCATCCTTATCTTCATCCTCGTTAGCTTTGAGAGAAACAGCAGTGATATAGTGAGTTTTCATAAAATAAATATCATCAGCCTCATGCATTTTTGTTAATCATAACACCCTTTTTTAATGCACGTTAACGTGATCTGGTAAACTGAATTTTCCTGACCCCTTGGCAGCACGCCGGCATCTGTGAACGTTGCCATGGTGAAGTTTGCCAGGACAAAAAGGAATGTGATGCCGACGCATGGAGGGAAAGCAAGAGACACATTCTCAGCGAGCCAAGGACACCTGCGAGACACGAGAAGAATGGAGTTGTGCTTACAATTACAGACAAGTGTTCCTTGATGGCTACTTCAGCGCCATGTGACGAGGTGTGCAGCGGCATCATCTAGGGACAATCACGAATACACCGCTTACATTTGAATCAGATGATCTTTCTTTTGATCAGATGATGGTGAAATATTTCTAGCCATCTAACACTTCATCTGCTCTTAGAGCCTGTGGGTACAATATATGTTCAGGGTATGAAGATGAAAGTGTAGATAAAGATGAAAGTGTGGATGAAAAAAAATAGGATTAGAGGAGGGGGCAATTCAATGGCAGAAGAAGATTAAATGGAAAGGTAATCACGAATCCACTCGACAACTGATGGTGTGGCAGATCAAATGCACACACTTTTTTAAAAAAACATCGGGATTATATAGATCTGTGTGTACCAATTACAGAATGGAGGACAACAGGTTTTAATGTCAAGGTGCACAACTAGTTTTAATTAATAACCTCCAATAGAGGATAAATATTTTATAAATATATAAATATGAAGTAAAGTATTAATGGTCCCACTAAAGATTTGCACTTCCCAAAAATATTTTGTTCCTAAATCCCACCTTTGCTTCAGTGGATAATCTCTTCTTGATACTGTAGACTTGTACCTAAGAAATGCTGCTGTAATCATAAAGACAGTCCTGTACTCATGCCAGGACTGTTATTCACAATATGCTCACACTGATCAACCTTTCAGCACACAAAGTACCTTCTGACTTTATATTATATATAATTTTATGTTATAGAAAAGTAAAGATTAATAATCCCACTATCCGGTGTCGCCCCGAAGAGGATGGGTTCCATTTTGAGTCTTTATAGCACCTCTCATTTACACATTATGGATCTAAATCTATATCCAGGAATTCTGTAAGGCTGCTTTGTGACAAAGTCTACTCTTAAAAGTGCTACACAAATAAAACTGAATAAAATTGAGATGAAATAATAGAATATGAGAAGCATGATATGATTATAAGACAATCTCAGATCATCCAGATCCACAAAGTGTCCATTTAGTGCCAGGAACCACAGGACGCAGCAGCTCCTTCGTTGTCCACGCTGTTTTTTTTTTTTTTTTTCGTGGCTGTTTTCAGGAATGGAGGTCAGAAGGGGGGGATGGGGTAGAGACTAAATAAATGTCTGCGCTACGCCAGCTGCATTTCCATAATCCCCAGATTACCGAATCAGGATCAGGGATCACACAGGAGGCCGCTTATCAGAGGCAATGTGCATGTGCATGTGAAAAACATAAAGCATCACCACTCACTGTGAGAACGTAGTGGTATCCAGTGATAGATTTCGAAATCAATGTATCTTTAAAAAAAATAAATAAAAAAAACTGGCAATCAAAATTCCACGTGAAACCATTTTCATCTCATAATCCACACATCTTCATCCATTTTAGGGAGTTATTACTTTTTCTCTATCCTTGTCCTCTGTGCTGGGATTTAGATTCCTTCTGGCATCTGGGGGACGGACGTAATGAGCCACTGAACCTCATGAATCCTCATAAAGTCAAAAATCCGACTAATGCTGTTCATCGCTCTAGACTTTATTTATTATAGTGGAAAGTAAACAATGGCACAGGGCCAACGATTTCCCAGTGGTCTGAGAGCTTATTAAATCCTATTGAATTCTGTTTAATGTTAGTGGCATTTATGTACAGTTTAATCACTTCACCGAGGATGTGTTGTCAAGGCACTGCTGGTCATATATGTTGCCTTCATCACCAGTTAATTCTGTCTTTTCATTTCTAGTTGGACTGTATTCTCTTTTTCAGATACAACGGAACTGAGTCCACCACCAAGAGCTGTTTTTATTTTGTTAAACAAGTCTGCATTATTCTTTATTAATATTCCCAAAATGTTGGTTCTTATTTTTCTTATTAAATCAGCAGTTACTGTATGAACACATAACACACAGGACCTATTAATCAAGTCATAGCACATTTGAGCAATTTTATTGTATTTTATTATTTAACATTTTAGATGAGGATTCCTAAAACAGAATGAAAAATCTATTTGGTCACAAGGAAAAGCATGAACTTGATAAAATTGTGTAGTACATGAATAATCTTTTTAATATAGGATATTCCCTATCAGTTACAAGGTACAATGTCAAAAGAGTTTATTTGTGTAAATTTGAAGCGGATTTGTGCACTGGAAGCATATTAAATAATGTCTGAAAACGTATTTTCCCTCACTGTATATTAATGTAGGTACTAACAATGTATATCATTCACATTCATAGACAGATCACAAGTGCAAAGCCTGGTTCCCTTTAAGAACTTATAAGGATTACTCTGGATGCCTCCACAAGACTGGACCAACATTGATTTCTGACCATCTGGATAGCAAAGAGAGTTTATTATGTGCAGCATTTCCTGACGAGATTCAACTCCTAATGAAACAGCCGAGCAGCTTTAAATCTAAGCTTCCTTCACTGTCTGTGTGCAAGCCTGAGCATTTTGGTACATAAATTTATATTTACTCATTTGGCAGATTCTGGTGGTAGTCATTTTATCCCAAGTGAATTACAAGTGAAGCAGAATTCAAAGGAAGCATAGAGCTGAAATGATGAAGGTTAAGGGTCTTGCTAAAGGGCACTGATTATCTTTACGCATCACGGAAATCATAATAGGAGCCTACAAGTGAATGGGTGTAATTTTGGAATGGATTGGTACCAAACTTGTATTCTACAAAAAAAAAAAAAAATCCCGCAATGTCTTTCTACAAAAACAATTTAGAATATTTTTTTTTTTAAATGCAAATGTAAAATAGCACAGCTAATGTTTAACTCCTTAAAATCGCAGCTTGTTCAGTTATTTATCTTAAAACATAACATTAAACATATAGAAAAAAGAGTGAAATTATAGGAAATGTCTGTATTTATGAGTGTAAGGAGTAGAGTCCAGACCTGGTGACAGCTCAGAAGAGTTTAAGAGGTTAATCTTTTGCATAATGCCTAATGAATACACACACTAACTAATAAATGAGACTTCAGGAAGATGCATGTATCTGCCTCAAAGGCAGAAGGTCTGTTAAGGACAACTGCACTTCCAACCAAAAAAGCAACATTAATTCTACATAAAGAGGAGTGATGGTGGCACCCATACTGAGCAGATGGACTCCAGTGCTCTCAGTAGTTGAATTAACATTGCCACTTAACAATCCATCTCAATGGCAAGCTCACAAGATTAATATAATAAATGAGTGTGTGTTAAAAGGTTGCTTTATAACAGCTTGCCACTGCAGACTGGAAAAGCGCTGTGTACTACAGTAATGACGTACCACACCTGAATGGGGCACTCTTTTTTTTAAGGCCATCATAAAAGATGAAAAAAAAAGGTTTTTCTGTAATCTGCCATCCAAAGTGATATGAAAGGGGGATAATAATATTCACGAGTGAGACTACTTTCTGATTCTGACCATGTTCTTTTCAGAAAGCCTACTGTTTACAAGCCAATCTACAATTCGGCCATACATTATTTATTCTTGTTTCAGAAGAAAATGGAACATTACCGAAGAAAAAACGTGGTATGATTTGCATTTAACATTGTCTTTATACTGCTACTTGGAAACACCGCTTTCTACAGGTTCTAAGATTGGCTCTGCTCAGATGGGTTCTTACAATAAAAGCACATTTCTGCTGAGCTCCACTTCAGGTCCGAAGTTTGGTTATTTTATTTACAGGCCCCGAACAGGCTTTTTCCTGAGAGGAAAGGACAATAAGTACTTTCTTGTTCCTCCCTTCCAGAGAGGGCTGTGTATCAAAATCAAGAAGTCTCCTGGGTAACACTGTATTTTCTACTTTTAGCCATTGAAAAATGCAGTTCCAGGTACCATCATTGTTTCACTCACTTTCTGTGACTCACTTTCTGCTGCTGCACTTTCTGCTAGACCTGCATGGATACTCTAAAGATTTGCATTTTATGCCCTAGTCTCACCCTTGCTCTAGTGATACTGTAGATTTGCACCTAAGAACTGCTGCTGCTGTAGTCTTTACTCATCCCAGGACTCTTATTCCCAATCTGCTCATATTGAGCATCCTTTAAAACACTTAGTACTCTTTGACTTTAGTTTACAGTTGCAGAAGAGTAATGATTTATAATCCCACTATCCGGTTATATATACCATTTTTGGGTCTGGTTCCTCTTAAGGTTTCTTCCTCATGTTTTCTCAGGGGGTTTTCGCTTGACCTTCCCTTGCCACTGCTCATTAGGGATCTAAATCTACATCTGGATTTCTGTAAGACTGCTGTGTGACAATAAACTTGAACTGAATTTCAATGTGATTCACCAGATCTTACAAGCAGGATCTTTTTAGGAATTCCTACAAATTAACTTAAAAGTGAAAAATGCATTTAAAAATATATTTATTTTAATTACTAACTTTGCCTGTTAGTAACTACTGTATTTTTTGCAAAATTATTTTACATTTTAGAAAAGTTTCAG